CGCTTGATACGAGGAACAAAAAACATACTACTTACAGATCGTTGAATACGCAGGACCGTAGATGTAATTTTTTCCAGATGTCTTGTATATTGCGTCTGTAGCAGCTCTCATCAGTGTTTTCTGTAAAAAAAAAAAAAGGAGGATTGCAAAGGAAAAACTAGCCTTTGGAACAGAATATTATAAAATTGCACATAGAGGTCTAAATATTTTAAACTGGCTAGTTGATTAAAACGAAAACAAAGTATTGTCTATGGTGTAATCATACAAAGATATTCGATATTTTTAGATTGAATTTTCTACTCGTCATAATTTTGGATTTCCAGAACCGGAGAACGAAAGAATTGAGGCAAACAGAAGAAGATACTAGTCCAAAATGGCGCCAAGCGAGGAGCTCAAGCATCACTGTGAGGGTAAATAAAATCTGTGTGCTTAAACGCAAGGTCTTTGATACTTATCTTAATTAAGGTAAACTAAGTAATGTGTATATTACACAGCATTTTTTTGGTTATTACAATTTTAATAACTGGTCCGATATGAAAGGGGAGAACCAGTGATAAAGGAGCGTTCGTTCGTTTGAAAGTATCAGCATGACTGCCATGAGCGCTGCCACGCACCACTACTGCGAGTTACTAGAATCACGAACGTGGCGCCATAATTGCCATCCTCGAGTTTGCGACCTCATCATCCTACAGTCTTCACCGTATTATAAATGTCTCAATCATTTTCATTATAATGCATTAAAGTTTTCTTTGTCGAGATGATCATGGTCGTCATCGTCAAAAGAGACCTTTAGTACCTCTGAAAATCAACGACGTGAAATCACCAAAGTTTAAGAGGTCTGAGAAAGAAAACCCCGTCGGTAAACACATCCAGCCATTCGCTAAATCTAACTAAGAACATCAATTCATTTTTCATTCAACGTCAGCGTTGCCGTCCTAACTTCTTAAGGTCCCTAACTGCACTCAGCCGGAAAACGGAAGCAAGAGCTATCAACAATATTTTAAAAAATTGGCGAATTCGGTCCGGTATTTCAATCGAAACCGTTCCCAATGTGCCTGATCTTTTTCTGCATTTCAAACATAACATCTCAGAAGAAAAAGCATGCAACGATCACTTAATTTCCGTCTGCCTCTTGCGGGTGAAAAACGTTCATGCTCTGCATGCAGTTCCCTATCCTTATCTTATTATCATAGATGTCAATGATTTTATCTTCGTCATCATCATTGTTCGTCGTCATCGCCAATGATTGCATGGTTTCGTCGTCATGATGATTATATCGACAATTTCCACCCTTTACCTTCGTCACCGTCAGGAATTAACACTAAAGCTTCGTCATCATCTCGAAGACTGTCACCAAACATGGGAAACCCAAGGGAGCTGTTATAACCATTTCATGAAAATATATGTACAGATATTAGACATAAGTAGCCATCTTTCTTACTAACCATTTCGTCATAATCTGATGGTCTATCTTCTCTCCATCCCCATGGTGACATCCACAGCTGCCCATAACTATGAAAATCGAAGAATGCTATCAAGTCGGATCTTCGATCAGTGAGATATGTGGCGACGTTGAAGGACTCTATTTCAGAGAAGGGACTTTCTCCGGAAAATTGTTCGCTGCATGTGTCATGTGAATTTAGGTCAGAACCTGAGTTGATAAAAGGAAAAAATCACAATATTTTCAAAGGGTATGAATAATGTCACTGTTATGTGAGTGAAAACGTAGTAAGTTACTACTTGAAGGTGTTTATCTGAAACACAAAGACATTTTGTCCGTTAGGCCATCATGATGAGTTAAACTAAGATTAGAGGTCTGTTTTTCACCCGCTTTAAATAAGGGTTGTTCGATTTTATGTTTTGGATATAATTTGTAAACCAAGAATGAAAAAATAACAATAATAAAACAGGTTTACGCTGAATTACGCATGCTGAGTCCTACAAAGAAAAGCTTTGTATGTTTTCACCCGTGTAAATTCAGTTACATTTCTCGTTTTATTTTTTGTGCTTTCAATTTGGAAATGTTATTTTTTAAAATATGTTTATTACGGGATATACGATCGGTATGTCCATATATAAATGGTACAGATGTTGAAAACAGTTGTTGGTGATAAACAGCACAGTTGTTACTCACCCCACTTACTGTTATTAAAGTTCCTGTTCAGGTCCACACCAATACAATCTGCAGGTAAGGAAGAATCAAACACACGGCGATTTTTTCGCCATAGACGGTCCTCCTAGAATTTTTTGGAAAAAAAATAAGAGAAAAAAAATCCTGTGAATTCAATTTCAAACTTTTCTTAACTTTCCCTATCCATGCCTACATTCGACCATCTATATACTTGTTCAATTGTTAGCCATTCACTCATCTGTTTACGCATTTTATCTTATCACGTGCTTAAGATTTATATTAAGCCTGCTTACCTTGTGAGTGAACTCGTAACCGTCAACATTAAAAACTGGCAGGAAAAACCATTCAAATGTTTTGGTCATGTTCGCAATCTCTTCATCCCGATCTGAGAAATTCAGAAGCTAAAACGAAAATTCTAATAACATTTACATCATCAAATAAAAGTCGGTGGAGAGAAAGAAAACTTTATGCCGGTTTTTTCATAATTATGCTGGGGAATTTAGCTCCGACAGCCGAAGGAGATAATGTGCTCGTTCTTCATGGGAAAGTATAAGCAAAGTTGCGTAGGCTGGTGGGCGATAATTTGTATGCAATTATTGCAAGTTACATGATGGGCTCTGGGCTTATGAAAAGAGAGAAAGGAAAAAGATCTGGTTGTAGGGAGGCTTTAGAAGTTTGAAACAAAAAAAAATGAGAATTGAATTCAAAGAATCAGTAGTTTATATGTAAGAGGCAAAAGAGGTGAAAAAAAAAATTCTTAGAGGGTTACTCAAATGGCAAAATGACTGACTCATTTCTCCTTTGCAAAGCGGAACTTACTTGGTGTATAAGATACATGCAAGTGGCAGGACTTATCCACTCCCTGGCATGAATTCCACAAGCAATGAATATCAAACCCTTAACTTTTCTTCGACTTTGCTTAATCTAAGAATAATTACAAATATAAAGAGAAATAAGAAAAAATCAAGCAAATAATGGGTTAAATTTTTAAGGAAAGGCATAACAATGTTACGAGATTAAAATAGGTGTCCTCAGACAAAGTGTTACTAAGGTCTTTCTCTGTAGAAATCTCTAAGAATCAAACGTAAACGTGAAACACTGTAGATCCATCAAAGAACTAACAGTAAAGAGAAGGGACCTCACACCATTGTAAAAGATGCTGCTAATTAAGTTTCTATTCATTGTTATCAGCATCAAGGCAGCAGTAAAATTATGGTTTAGCACGAACAATTACTCTGGAAACATAGGAAACATCAAAATAGAAGCTATCTTGTAAATTTTAATTTTTTAACTATTATACATGTAAAAATGGTTAATATATATATATATATATTTGATTTTTGGGTAGTGACCTAAGTTATTCCCTTCTAGCTGAATACTTGTACGCTTAAATAAAACTCTAACCTTTTTAAGAATGTAGAAATACACAGACGAAGGCCATGAAATGTTAAAGAATTTAAACAGTAAAAAAGTCTCCACGAAACTATCAACTCCTTGCGGCACTAGAAATCACCTCTAGCAAATTTCAAAGTTCCAATAGCCAATTTCTGCGCATTAAGGACAAATTAAATATTTGTGCTTAGTCGCTCCATCGAGAAACTGGGTAATCAACAACTGAGACGATAGGATAAATTATGGTATACAATTTCGAAAAACTAGAACTATAGTAATGAATAAAAGTTGGTATCCATTCATCAGAAAAGATAACTTCTACCGTCATTCCCAACATGTTCCGTCCCTCGTACGACTTTCCAAGTTCTACTACTGATGCCAATGATGGATGAGCTGACCGGAGGCGATACATTTCCTTGTGGATCTGATTATTTTTCAAAGAGAAGGAAAATCAGATATCGTTTAATTTTCATGCTGAGGACCGTTATTTGACAATTTAGAGGGGTGAATGGATGGATTGAATGAATTGCTGAATAAATATATGTTATTCGCCAGCCAGGAGGTCCACGTCGGGAAAAACTGTGCCGGTCAAGACCTTGGGCACAGTTTTTCCCAATACGGACCGACCTGTCGCAATCTGACACCTGTTAATTAGAGTGCGCGCAAGAAAAAAAATGGATGTACACTTTTGAAAAAGAATGTACTTGTTCGGCAAACGAACCAAATTCAATGACTGTCGCGACGATTTTCTCTTCAAAAACGTTTGGTGATCCTCCGAAAAGTATTATTAATTTTCATCGATGATTGAGGTAAGAAGAATAAATGTGCTCAGTCAGGGAATGACAAAAAAATTAATTGTAGGTAAATTAAAACGCATGTTTTGAAGTTGTAGGAGTTTGCTCGTAAGCTTGCTTTAATGGCGTGTGTCAATCTTGTTTTCTTCCAGCAAAAAACTCAAGTCAAATGAGACACTTTAACTAGACCCAAGGGAATTTAGTGCGATTTTTTGGTTGATTTCTTTCGGTTTTTGTTATGCAATTTACGGTGCAAATTACCAAGTTGAACAGACTTGCAAAGACTTATCGAGAGCATATTTGTAGTAGGATTGAAACCTTGGCTCACCGCTTGACAGCGAAAAAAATTTGATTGAGAGAATTCAGATATTAAATGAATGAAAATTGCATCGATTAATTCAATCGTAACAAATACCTCACAATTCCACTTTTTTTAGTAACTTTTTGTGAAGGATTAAAGTTAATTACAAACGGTTTGCACAACAACTTTATTTCGAAGACATTTTTTTGCAGTAATGAAAGTGATTTGGGACAGAGAGAAAAGAGAGAATTAAAAAGTTAGTGATCGGTTTGATTTGCTTAGAAATGCGTTGCTTGAAAATTACCCAGTCAGCGAAACGGGATATATTTAGGAAAAATGGTAACGAAGGTAGGGACGTACTCGGCAACTCACGAAAGCGTTACCGTGCCCGCGGGCAGAGATAGGAAAATGCGGACCGCACCAACGGCCAATCAGATGACAGGATTTGTTACCGTACTCGCTGAGCAAAAAGTAAAATTATTTGTGGACGGATGAAGAATCAAAGTATTACTTTTACAAGTATTGGCCCCACTCTCCCGATATAGGGTATAGAGTTGCCATTTCATGCCAATTTCCCCAATTACATTCTCGTCCTCGTTTCTTTTGCTTTTTTGCTGTTGAATAAGACTACAATTCTTTGAGATACAAGTTACTTAATATTTCCATATTACCATTTTACCTCATCCAATGTGTGATAACAGTTGTCGAAATCGCTGTTTCCATGACAACATCTATCTTGATTATCAATCATCTCCCTTGTGTCGATTGCTATTGTGTCCTTATACAGAGAAAGTTCAGCGAGATGTGCCTGGAAATCCTCGACTGAATCTGGACCTACGTGAATATGCACCTCTCTCCCCGTTTGTGAAGGCGCTTTCCAGACGTCTAGCTACAAAAAAAATCAATGGCATTCAAAACACACAATCACCCTTCGATTTTTGTTAACTCAATGTTAATCCAACTGCGCATTCTGGTTTCGTTGACCTGTGCCATTTAAGCCTCTTGTTAAGTATCTGCCACGATCTGACACCTGTCAATTAGAAAGTCCGCATACACTTTTGAAAAAACGGCAGCACTGGTTTGGCAAGCAAACTCGATTTAAATGACTACCACAGTGACTTTTTCGTCAAAGCTGAAGTTTCAAACGTTTGCCCTTCGTCGGAGCGAAGCTCCATTCGCTCTGATGAAGGACATAAGGCTCGACACGTCAGCCTTTTAATTCTTTGCGGTGGCCAATTTACGATATCAGCTCAGTTAATGATACTAAATTATCTTGTAGGTAGATTCAGTCTATTTGTTTCCTGAAATGGCGTTAGTTAACTTGTCTTTCTACCACTGAAAAACCGAGGTCAAATGACACGCTCTTTTTTTTTTCCAGCTAGAAACATTGGGATTCAATGCGACGTTCAGTAATCGAATTACTTCAAGCGGGCCAGAGTTGTAGAATACCACCCGCTCGCGCATCGAGAAAAAAATTAATATTATTATTATAATCGTTTCACGTTGCAAATTTTACCTTAGGGAGGCTGCATAGGGTTTTTGCTCAATGTTAGCGCGCACCAGTGTTTTTCTAGAATTCTTTTTTTTTATATTTTCGCTTTTCTAAGTCACAAAAAGCCATCAAAAGGTGACAAGCAAGATTCGGACAATCGTTTGCTGTAATAACTATCAACAAAATCATATTCATTATTAAGCTAAGGCTCCACAAAGGAAGGCGCTCATCAATGATAATTTTGCTTTATTTTTTATTTTCTTCATTTTGCCTCGGTGAAATCTCTCAAAATTTTCATACTTTGTGAAATTTGCCCTGGTGATCATTAAAAAGCCGAAAAAAACAGGGGTTACAAAGGCAGTTTCCTCTCTATTTGCAATTTTGTGTTTTCTTTTTCCATCTCAAATTTAGTATTATGAATTTTTTTTTAATCAACAGGCACTAGAAAGGGCACACATATTTTTAACGGTCCGACAAATCTTAGGAAATTCCACTGAAGGAACGCGATAAATCTTACTCGAAATATCGCTATTTCTTTGTCGCAAAACATTACGTAATGGAATAGAACTTCGCCAAGATCTATATCCGAGCATGAGTAAACTTTCGCCTTTTAGCAATGTTTCCCAGGGTGTTTTCTTTTCGGTTGACCTCTTTTTCAGGTTTAGAGGGCCTATGAATATTACGGGTGCAGTTGCTTGAAAACCAAGATTCCATCACATAAAAACTCTATTTAGTTAAACTATTTTAACACTCCTTTTCAGATAGCAATCGTGTGATCTTATCTAGCCGCTATGTTTGTTTTGCATGTTGACACTTTTCAAGCTCGCGCTATTTTCGCACCCATATCTCGCGCGTTCAAAAAACCTTATCGAGCCCCCTTAACGGGTGCATGAAATAATATCACTACCCAAAACTTACGTTCTTCCGACTTTGCAGTAAATCCCTCAGAGAAGAGACTTCTTCATCTGACTGTGGAGCTACTCGTATGACTTTGTAGCTAGGAAAGAATATGAATGCATCACTGATAAAAAATTGGAATCACTGGTGACGTGAGCAGCGTGTACTCTTAAAGAGCACCAGGAAGCACCGTCGGTCATGAAGTTTTATAACGAGTAAAATCGGTTTTTGAAGTCCGATTTGAAGAGACAAAAATGATAAAAACAAGATTTATAATATTCCAAAGCTATCCCTAAACAAGAAGCAAAAGAACGGTGTGTACATCTTAAACATCAAGCATGGGGTCCAGAGGCAACTCGTACCTCTCTCGAGCTTCGCTTGATATGTGTTCCCTGTTTTTAAGGCTACATTTTTTGTTATGCGATACGCTCGATACAGTGAGATTTAACATAGGCGCGGCTAAGGTCAGCCGTCTGTTTCCAACCTTGCTTTATCGATTCTTTCGTAGCAGATAAGTAGCACAATGTCTTAG